CTCCCCCTCCAGTGGAGAGATCTTGGCAGAGTGTTCTCCCTTCATCTGTTCCCCGAGGCAGAGCAGCTCCCCCAATGATCCACACTTCTCCATATTTTACACCCCCGAAATGGGCACGGCTCCGATCCCCTCATTTCTCTTCATATTTCTCTCCTTTTTATCCGTTCGTTTGTGTGTTTTCACATTCTTGCATTTTATCGCCAAATGCGTGTTGAGTTGTTGATTGCTTCAAATATTTGGAGGTTTGCAGACATGTTATAATCCTGCGGGAACCGGGAGATCAACCCAGTAGATTAAGACAAGTGGTCTGAAAAACAACCACACAAAGATGCTGCCGCTATGTATCACTGCTCTCATTTCACTTTGTAAGGCATTTTTGTACACTAAGTAAATGCCACATTGATTCAAAGATCCAAATGTGATGTAGCCTCATTGGTTCTGCGCTTAAGAGATTATTTATGTACCCACGTTTCTGCTTGTGTTTAAGAATGTGCGGATATTTACCTCATATCTCTCAGATACATCAGTAATATACAAGAAAACAAGTCCTTTTCACTTTAACCTCTAGAGTCCTGAGCTTTGGTTTCATATGCATTTTTGGTCCTCATATGAGGACGCAGGGACTCTAGAGGTTAAAAGATTCCATTAGCCATCACCCTTGCCTCTTACTTTTAAGCACATAAAGTCTGTATGGCTGCATGAGCAGCCATGAATAAACAAATGTCTTTCAAGTGCTCAGACCACATTATCTCTAGCAATTCAATCTCCCGTCACTTGTATGGGTGTTGACCTGCGTTTCCTATGTAGGGATTGGCCAGTGTGATGGGATATATTTCTGATTGTGACTGGTGGTTGGTCAGAAGGGTTAATGAGCCTCTTGAGTGATGCCAGCCCATAGTGGGACATGTTTAATTGACTGGGGTGGCTAAGTGACATCACACAACCTCGGTTTTGTTTTTTTTGATGTGAATATACTGAATTTTGTTTCAGTGCAGTTATGAGTTTGACAGCAGTGTAGGTGAGTTTATGAATTGATGTATGTATATTATTCAGCAAAAAGACTTGCAAGTAAAAATGATTGAGAACTGAGTAATCCTGTTCTCTGTAACTTTGTATATCAGGTGAAGAGACAGAGAGTGAGGTTTTGTACCATAACATGTTTGACATTTGAATTGCTATTTCTGCCAATAGGTTTGGTAGATTGTTTTGCAAAGTGGTTTCTTTAGCTGAAGTTAGAGCTCTTTCAAATGTCAAATGGATCAGTGTTTTGATCCACACTCATTAAATAGCATGAATAGCAGCAGAAATATTCTTTTCATAATGTATATTGTATAGCCATTAGTCCAAGACCATGCAATTTTGGCCTAATTTGAAGATGGTTCTGTAATTATTGTGTATTCTTTATCCATAGACAGACCCATGAAGGTGAAAGCTTTTCTTAATTCATCCAAGTATGAAGTGAGCTCAGGCTGGACTGAGCAGCACGGCACTGTTGCTATACACTGAGTCTTTGGCCGTGGTCTAGAGAAGCAGTGGTAGTACAACAAGAACACGCTGGACTTCCCCCTTGTACTACAGACTCATCGCTCACCTTGCTTTCAGCTGCATTGTTGCAGCTCTTCACTTATTAAAACATGCTGAGGATCTCCTCACTATGTGTCAGCCATGTCAAAACCCTCTTGAACCACAGAGAGCGGTGCTTTATAGAGCCTGATATTTGTTGCCACAAACAGTACAGCACTTCATACATACAGTATTCATCCACAGCTACAGTGTAAAGCAGAACTCAATATTAGCTATAGAAGCAGGCAGCATTTATTTGGAACAGAATAAAGAACATTGTGCTAGCATTTTTATCTTCTGTGTTAGAAGTTTTGGTCTTGTTTGATAAACCTGACCTAAAAAGACCGAGAACAGTGACTACAGAAAACCAGAGTTTGTAGCTTTCAGGCTGACTGGATAGAGGTGTGACAGATCAGTATGATGTAGTAACTTTATTTTTAAATGGATGACTTTACAGCAAAAATCACTGGCAGATTGTGGATAAGACCAATACATTTTCATAAGCTAGGATGACAGTTGTTTTTATTCTCTGTAACCAGATTTAGTTTCTGTCTTATTAAAGTGGGATAACAGTCTCTATTACCAAAACATTAGTTCATTCAAATTGGTATATTTCAAGTATAGGAAACAATGAGTTTTGTGAGTGTTTAGCTTTAGCCACAGCTAGTTGTGGCTATCTCACCATCTACCTTTAGCTGGATTTTTCTCTCTTGCTTTAACTATTTCTTTTGATTTGTAGCTGTTTTCCTTGATATTATACATTTCTATGGCATAAAAAGAATTGTATTTTAAAACAAATGTCAACAAGTCAGACTCTGGTCTTAACTTAATTTGGTAAAGTATGTAGTTGAGGCATTTTGGCTTTGTAAGCTAGAAATGTTTCCATATAGACTGAGCTCTTGTATGTTCATGATACAATAAATAACATACCTAAATATATTTGCGTACTTACTGTATATTCATCCATGTACACACATCAACACACATTTATAAAGAACCATCCAAGTACATGTGTAAGACAATCATAATTTAATATTTATGTAAGGTGTCAGATCTTTTATTTAACTGACTGTATCACTTATCCTGTAATTACTTTTGACTGTCAAGGACAATTTATTTGTTCCAGCAGTTTACTCCAGCAGTTAAGTATAAACTGTGTGGCTCAGTGTCTCATCTTTTCCCACCAGCTGTCCACCTTCTTTTAGAACTCGCGCTATTAGATGCTGCATATGCATTTTTGTTGCAAATGCCCATTTTCAGTGACCCCTCAAGCTACAGAAACGGTAATTTAGAATCTTCTGCCACATACACTGTGTTTTACTTCAATTATGGACAATTACCAAAATAACCATCAACAGATTGTTGTCTCGCTCTCAAAGTCAAATTCCAGATTGTGAGCCTCTCCCTCCCTCTTGCTGCTCTCCCAGAGTCTAAATCAATGCAGATGTTCCGGTATGGTCTCACAGCGATAATTGCTGTAACAAGCAAATCATTAGTATCGGAATAGAGGCAGTTTATATAAATACAGCTCAGGGTGTTACTTTTACTTGTTAATACTTATTCTCTCATTATAGTTTTGGCAGTTTGTGAGTCAACATGATGCAATATGAACTTGCAGTGCTACAGTTAATTCTCTTTCCAGCTCTGAGAAAAAACAAGGTGTTTATTATTGCTGTAAAATCCTATTTAAACTGACATGTATAGCCTTAGGTTTTTCTGTTTTGTTTGTTTTTTATAATGCATAGTTTCTCTGCTGCTGAGGATTTGTCTCCATGAGTGAACTTTTTCTATTAATATGCAGGAAAGTTAATGATAATTATGGGATTTTTTGTGCTCAAACTACTTTTGTACTATTGTTCTGTGAAAAACCAGCTGTGCAGATGTTCACACTGCATGGCTACTGTATATCCAGCAAAAGCATAAAGGCTATTCACTATGTTATTGTTTGATTAGAATGAATAGTAAGTTTTATTATAAACAGGCTACATCAGCTATACTTTAAACATGACAGATTCATGACCCATCACAACCTGTTCAGGCTGTGGTCACTGTGTGACCCGTTCAGTCTGTTTAGTCATAGTTCTTCACTTCTAGATTCACTTCAATAAGGTCTGTGGCTTGGAAGCCTTTAAATGTTTCTTAACTTCCTCTCAATGACTAATTGAAAACCAGTTGGACAGTTCAACACATAGCGTGCCTATTATGGTACATGAGGGATCTGCATGCTTTAATATCCATCTTTGTTGTAGCAGCTCCCAAAAGGGGACAGAGCCTGTGTTCTGCTGCTGGTCAGGCAAATATCAGACCAGCTGGCTTTGTGTTTGTGAATTCTGCGGCCTGCGGAGATCATCTGCTCCACACCTCAAAATGTCCTTTAACTGCAAGCTATTAGGCGTGTAACTCTTCACACAATTTCAGTCAATATTTAGCTGTTAAAAGGATAACACTGGTGTTGCTTTGTCTTTTTTGTTATTATCAACCACTCACCTTAAGAAAAGATTTCTTCCTGCAAACAAATGTTGTTTGTGCAGCTTCACAGTAAGACTCTTTTATTAGCATTTCATAGCTTTGGGAACAATCATAGTTCATGTCACAGGAGAATAAGCTGTATCAGGTTATGATTGCACAAGCAATAGTTCCTAGTAGGATGAATTTGTTGACAGCTACAGTTCATGTCAAGTTTTGCAAGAACTGTCTCAGTTGCAGATCATTAGTATCTGAGCAGCAGCAAATGATGGTACTGAGTGTTGAAATTGCATTTTTAACCTCTGCAAAAGCCTTAAAGTTTGTTTTAGCAAAATACCTATCCAATATTGAAAATAAACATACATAATTGTATTGTTCTTTATCCTGTAATTATCCCTACTGTGGCATGTTATGATTTAGGCATTTATTTTTGACAGACAGCTGCCCCCATACGGAAGCCAAAAA